TTCGAAATTAGCAACCACCGGTTACAAGGCGAGGTGCTGAGACCCGATCCAATCGCTACCCATGAATACCAACTTCTGCTAATTCGCGACCGACAGCCAATATCATAGGCGAATACGTGTTCCGCTGCCTGTCTTTGTGGAATCTGCTGGTTAAGATATCTCAATAGAACTCCAAGTAACTTCCTGAATACACAGGGTGACCAGTGAGCATCAGATTAATTTTCCAGTGTCAGTCCCATCGGGTTGGTGTAAGTCACTGATTATCCCCATATACAAGAAGGGAGACAAGTCTTCCTGTGATAATCACAGAGGGATTAGCTCGACGAATATAGTATCTAAAGTCTTAGGCTCAATAATCATGCGTAGACTGAGTGGTGCTCGGGAGACACAAACACGAGAGAACCAGGCAGGCTTTACACCAGGAAGAGGGTGTATTGATCATATCTTCACCCTCCGACAGATTCTAGAACACAGGAATTCCTACCGGCGTCCAACAGTCATTATATTTCTTGACCTAAAGGCAGCATTCGACTCTGTCGATCGGGAAGTTCTCTGGCGATGCTTGGCTGTAAAGGGAATTCCGAGAAAATATATTGCACTGATTAAGGCACTCTACTCGTACTCATACAGTCAGGTGAGGGCTTACGGCGAGCTGTCATCTGAACTGATGACGACCAGTGGTGTCCGTCAAGGATGCCCATTATCTCCTTTTCTATTCAACTTCATCATAGATGTGTTAATGGACTTAACCCTAGGTGACTTCAGCGACTCAGGGATTGACTTGCTACCGGGGAATAATCTTGTTGACTTGGAATATGCAGACGATATAGTCCTTCTAGAGGAAGACGCTGACAAAATGCAGAGTCTTCTAAACACCTTGAGCTGCAATCTACGAATGTTTGGCATGCGATTCGCTCCCGCCAAATGCAAGATGATGTTACAGGACTGGACTACATCGACGCCTAGTTTAAAAATAGGAAGTGAAGTGGTAGAGCACGTTGACCGCTTCACTTATTTGGGAAGTACCATCAGCCCCAACGGGCTGATCTCTGACGAAATCGCAGCAAGAATACAAGGGGCTCGTTTCGCATTTGTTAGTTTACGCCGACTCTGGCGTAGACGAGATGTTCGACTATCGACCAAAGGGCGGGTGTACTGCTCATCAGTCCGCTCCGTCCTCCTTTATGGTTGTGAGACCTGGCCACTGAGAGTGGAAGACATGAAAAGACTAGCTGTCTTTGATCATAGGTGCCCGCGTTCTATTTCCTGAGTGAAGTGGCATAATAAGGTGAGCAACATGGAGGTTAGGCGTAGAGTTCTAGGTAAACAGGGGAAATCAATCGACGAAGTCGTGAAGCTACATCGACTGAGATGGTTAGGACATGTGTTACGTATGGTAAGTCATCGCCTTCTTTGACGGGCAATGTTAGCGGATATAGGGTCAGGCTGGAAAAAAGCTAGCGGCGGTCAAACAAAAACCTGGCATCAGTCAATGAAATCCACAACAGTTGGTCTAAGCCACGTAGAAAGGTGTAGACTTCCAGGCTGGGGTCCTCGAGACGGTAAAAACCAATGGTTGGAAAGAATTGGTGACATGGCTCAAAACCGTTCTCAGTGGCGCAGATGCATCCACTCCCTGTGACTTATGATCTCCAATAAAACTGTTTTGTCCTTCGTTATTACTCCTTTGTCTCACACCTCTGCTCACTGTTTCTATTATGCTTTTCTTGTACTTTCTTCTCTTGCTTCGCGTGCTACACGGAATGTGGCGACTTAAACTTCCACACATTTGTGCAAAGTTCTATGTCGAAAATCAGACAGACAGACAGACAGTGTCAGTCTATAGGTATTTGATTGCTTATAGGTTTGATAAGGAGGTGATGTCAGTTAGAGCAAAGAAGCATTCAAAGTTGTAACCAGCGGTGTCTACCAAGTCTGGTAAACGAACACTAACTCGCCTATGTTATTGACTGGCGGTTTCGCTATATGTGCGTCGTTAATTGACAGACGTTGAAACTGTGTAGTCATTTTATTCAGTCACAGTGGGTGAATAGTTCACGTATTCACCTTGTAACCGAGGTGTCCTAAACAGGAAACCCCAATGGGTAGGAGTTATGAAGAATCCCAAACTAGGAAGAAATGCTTGCTGAGTACTCCCACGTTTTCTATTTGTTCTCTACTGTAACTGATGTGATTTCAACTCGTTATGAAACCGGTAACCAATCACATACCTGCTAACCAACACCTGATAACTTTTATTTCACGACTACATTCGCTACTATTCCCCTACACGTTCTTCTTCTACTCTACCAGTCTGCGTATCATTATTATTCTTGTTATTATCCACTCTTTTCTTTTCAACTAGGAAGACAACGTTACTTTTCTTCGCTATTTTCATATCATCTATCTAATTGTCATGACAAAATTTATGGGTGGGGAGGGGGGTGGAGATTCGACTTGATTATTTTTTCGTTTTTACACCAGTGCAATAAAAGCACCACTGAACAACAACAACACACACACTCACACAGACACTTGCTGATATTGTATACATCGATGGTATGCGAACAACTCTAGACAGATTAGGTAGGTCAGTAGGTAGGTAAGTAGGTTAAACTGTCTATCTCATATCTCATAATTTCTCTTATCATCTCAACAAAGGTGGTGATGGTGGTGGTGGTCAGTGTACAATCCTCCAATGTGATGATTACCGTTAATCGGATAGCTTACATAATTTGGAAATTTTGAATTTTATCACGTAATTAGGGGGTGATTACTTCGACTACTTATGTATCGTTAAAACAAAAGAATTATCAGATGTGTGAGTTGATAGATATTCATTCTGACATTCCTAGAGTCAGCTCACTCGTATTCTATGGAAGCTGGAGTTATTTTCTTCAAGGCTTCAAGGAGGACAGTTAACTATAGTAATGAGAGAAGTCTTAACCAGCGGATTCCACAAAGCCAGGCGAGGAAACAGTTTACTTGCCTGTAATATTGACTGACGGTTTCGCTACATATGTATCACTAATTAACAGAAGTTAAAACTCTGTAGCCATTGTATTCAGCCCCAGTGGGTGGTGAATAGTCTACGAGCTCGCCATGTAACCTGTATCTCCTGGTTGATGTGTACTGCTGCGGAGTCCCAAACTGGAAGGAAACGTGTGTTCATACTACTTCCACTACTACTACTCACACATCTGATAATTCTTTTGTTTTAACGATACATAAGTAGTCGAAGTAATCACCCCCTAATTACGTGATAAAATTCAAAATTTCCAAATTATGTAAGCTATCCGATTAACGGTAATCATCACATTGGAGGATTGTACACTGACCACCACCACCATCACCACCTTTGTTGAGATGATAAGAGAAATTATGAGATATGAGATAGACAGTTTAACCTACTTACCTACCTACCGACCTACCTAATCTGTCTAGAGTTGTTCGCATACCATCGATGTATACAATATCAGCAAGTGTCTGTGTGAGTGTGTGTGTTGTTGTTGTTCAGTGGTGCTTTTATTGCACTGGTGTAAAAACGAAAAAATAATCAAGTCGAACCTCCACCCCCCTCTCCACCCATAAATTTTGTCATGACAATTAGATAGATGATATGAAAATAGCGAAGAAAAGTAACGTTGTCTTCCTAGTTGAAAAGAAAAGAGTGGATAATAACAAGAATAATAATGATACGCAGACTGGTAGAGTAGAAGAAGAACGTGTAGGGGAATAGTAGCGAATGTAGTCGTGAAATAAAAGTTATCAGGTGTTGGTTAGCAGGTATGTGATTGGTTACCGGTTTCATAACGAGTTGACATCACATCAGTTACAGTAGATTAGCAATGGAAAACCGGGAACTACTAACCAGGCTATGGCATTGACTAACGTTTGTGTTTTATACAAATGTGTATATATATCACGAATTGGCGGAGGTTGGAATCCATGGGCAGCGATTAGATTGGGTCCCATTGGCTGAATGGTCGACAAGCTGGCCTCGTGACCTGTAGTTCTTGGGTTCGAACTCCTGGAGGTAGGTGCTTAATTTTGAGGTGTCCTGAACTCAATAACTCACCAGCTTATCTCAACTCGTGATGAAATATGTAACGAATAGAATTCCTGCGAACCAAGATTGGGTAAGATATAATGATTAGGATGAAGCGAATGGCTTCTTTGTAAAAATAAAATTATTTAACATGTCGAAACTTGTTCGCTTAACCTGCTCACCTGCATCCTTAGTAAACGGCGTTTTTCTGTGTGAAAATGCCGATAAAAGCTTGTTTGTTGGATTGCACACTACTGGTTACCATCACATATAAGTTATACATACCATCGAAGTGTCTTGGCTAGCAGGCCGCGGTGTGTTAACTGAAGAAATTTGCCCAATATTATTTCAGTGCAGTGAAAATCAGACCACACGAAATGCAAAATAACTTAAATACAGAAAAAAAACGAAATGCTCACTTCAAAAACCTTATTTACTTTATTTTGATTCACCTTCAATTATCTTTTCACAGGTGACAAGTTGAATAGTTTTAAATCTTGATTTTAAGCGGCTCTTCACTTCTATAACGACAGAAGATAAAGGTCAGGCAACGGATCGTTTATTGAGAAAATCAACCGATATTTCTAAATTTTTATGTACATTATTATTCTTTATTGTCAGCAGAGAAGCAACGTCTTCTGATTGGTTGTTTTCTTACTGAAGGTTATTGTGTTCTGCTTGTGACCGTTGCTTACAAGGTTATGGCATCCGCCCACGCTAGGCCTGCTGTGATTGGTTGTTGAGTTTCTCAAGGTTAGGCTTTGTTCTTGTTTCTCCTCATGACCCCGATTCGGGGGATATAGACATCGATGTAAATTGTTGCTTACAATTTTGGCTTGCAGCCAGGTCTCACCACACTTCGACTAACTCTTAAGTGAATATGTTTTTTCTATATACTCACTGCCATTTCCATTTCTTTTTCTAGTGTTTTTTGTTCTTCTTCTCTTCTTAGTCGAACGGTCCGTTGAACTTTTTGGATTTCAATGAAGGAAAAGATGTTGATCATAAGAATGGAAATCGTTTAACTGGCCCAGATTCCACTCATCTAGCAATTGATGATATTGGCAATTACAAACAAATTGAAAATAATTCAAGTGGTGATAATCCTATGCTAAATAGAGGAGTTAATCAAGAAGTGAAAAATTCAAATAATGGTTTTCATATCAGTGCACCAGATGGGGGGAATGGTTATGATGGTGGTTGTGGTGGAGGTGGGGTCGGCAGCGGCGGTGCTGGTACCGGTACCGGTGGCGGTATTGTTGGTGGTGTTTCGGTATGTTATACATCTTACAGTAATGCACCTTTTTATCACTATCATTATTATCATCATTCACATTGTTAATCATGATTGCTACGCCAGGTATGTGCGTCGGTAGTGGCACAGCGGTCGAATGAATGCTCATCAACCATGCAGGTGGTTTGGGGTCCGGTCTTCGGCTGACGCACTCTTCTACCCTCGCTAAGCCATCAGAGACTGGTGGAGGAGAGGGAAGGTTGGGTATGAGGCTAGCAACTCCACCTCGTATAAATTAATTCCACTGCTACTGCTACTGAAATATATACTGAATATACACTCTTGTCCCTGCAGTGGCCATCATAAACACGTAATTCTTCTAATAGTGACTATCCCATAGACTTTCTTATCGAAACTTCCTGTGTATTCATGTTATTTTAGATTTTTCCTAATCCCTATTTACACTACCTTATTTTCATATACGAACTTCTCGTCTATTTTATTATTTCTATATATTTAATACCTGATTGCGTCGGTGGCATAGGGGTTAGGATGCTCGCCAACCATGCACATGGTCCGGGGTTCGATCCCCGACCGACGCACTCCTTTACCTCGCTAAGCCAATAATAAGATTGGTAAAGAGGGAAGGTTGGGCATGAGGCTAGCCACCCCATCCTGTAAAAATAAACACTGCTACAGATACTTCAAGCCACTAGCTTGAAGCCCTATGTTCCACTGGGAACCTGAAGGAAAAAAATACCTGATTGCATAAACAATTATTCATCACATTAGTTATGATCCCACTAGATTTTTTTTTATCCAAACATCCTGTCTATTGTTGTTATTTCTACATTTCTAACCCCCTAATTGCACAATATATCAATCTTCTCAGTAATTAGGATGTTACTTTGTCTGAGCTTTATTCGTCCCCCCTGTATAATTGTATTAATCTGACCCTTGACCAGAAATTATTCTGGAACTTTCTTATCCATTTATTATTATAAATACACGAATGTACAGCTATCTAGTTGATGATTTCGTCGAGAAGAAAATTTTCTTCGCTGCAACTGTCGTTTTATTCCCTATGCTACCGAAACTTCAAGACTGGCTGGCTCTAGCCTGAGGCCTCAAGTTCCACTGGGATCGTAAAGGAATAAAATAATAATTATAAAATTCCAGATATATTGCACTCATAGTTTGCTTCTGGTTTGGTTTCCTAGTTTTGTCTACATCTTGGGTTATGTAAAATGTCTAACTTGGCAGTTTTATTACAATACAATTTTATTATATAAAACAAGCCGTGGATGAAAAAATTCGACCGGAACAGGCTAGATTCACGAGGAACAAATCATGTATCGATCAAATCGCAACACTACGAATCATCATTAAACAAAGCTTGGAATGGCAGTCAGCTCTCTCTACCTCACTGAACTTCATCGACTTTGTAAAGGCCTTCGATAGTGCAGCGTCGATCGAGAGGTGATTTAACAACTACTTCACTACTACAAGGTGCCGCCAACAATTATACATTTCAACCAACAGTTGTATGATAACGTTGCATGCTAAGTAATCCACAACGGGAAACTCACGGAATCCTTCGAAGTGTAGACAATAGTAAGACTGGCTGGCTGCTTACTGTCTCCAGTGATTTTCTTGATTGCGGTAGACTGGATATTGTGACAGACAGCAAGGAAAAAGGAGACAGGCATAAAATGGACCCACACAATACTTGGGGGATCTGGACTTCGCCGATGATATATGTCTGATTACCCACAAACTGGAAGATATGCAAGTGAAAAGCAACAAGTTGGCAGAAGAAGCATCCAGAGAAGATAGGACTTCAGGTGAATATAGATAAAACAGAGGTGATGAAGATTCATGGCCAACAGTAACAACAACAACAGACAACAATCAGCCAGCATAAATGGGAGGAACTTGAAAGAAACAACCTCCTTCACTGACCTACCTGGAAAGCATCTCTTCAACTACAGGCGGATGGAACTGACGAGGATATCAGAGCGAGGATTGGGAAAGGAAGGCAAATTTTCATTTCTCTCATGTCTGTGTGGAGGTCAGCAGCACTCAGCGTCAAAAATAAGATCCGGATTTTCAACTCTAATGTGAATTCAGTGCTACTGTATACGGATCAGAGACAGCATCGTGTCACGAAGAGCACTTCGAACAAACTACAAACCTTGGTCAACAGCTATCTTCACTCAATAGTTCGCTCAAGATCAGATAGCCGATCAGAAAAGCTCAGCAACAGGGATCTATGGCAGTGAGCGAACCAACCAGGAAGTGATTATGCAATAAATATGCAGGAAGAAATGGAGGTGCATTGGCCATACTCTGAGAAAACAAACCATCAAATGACAACATACACCAGGCCATCGCTCGGGTAGAACCTGAATGGGAAGCGGCGAGTTGGTCGTCAGTGTGAGGGTGGGGTGACATGGAGGAGGTTATGTGAAGAGGAGACGAAAGCATGTGGGCAGATGTGGAGCCATATGGAGACGTTTGTGGAGAACCGAACGCAATGGAGACATGCGGCTAAAGCCCTATATTCCTCTAGGAATTAAAGGAAATAATAATAATACTTAAGGATGGGGAATAAACCTGTCTGCTTACATATATGTATAAATATATATAATATGAGAATATTGTTTATCAACAAATTTACCAGTCTCGACGCCGCTTTATTATAATTAATCATAAAAAGATCATTTAGAAAGTTATTTGGCGGTGACTGCTTTAGCTTGGATCGTAATTTATTGAACTTAAAGCGTTTGATTTGACTATTCCTTACTGTAAGGTTGTGATTCTTAAGACAGCTTAGATTATAAATTAAGATCTAACCATAGGGCAGCTGTATTTGAAAATATACTGTACCTCAGTCTGCACCAAAGAAAGGACTTGACACGTCACACTAATTACTAATGTCCAATGAAAATACCCACTACAGTCCTACAGGAGGTCAATCGTGAACCCGAATAAATGCTCAGTGGTAACGTCTCTGACTGCAGGGTTCACTGGGTGACGCGGGTTCGAATCTCCTCAGAAGGGACATGATTTGTTCCTTCAGGTTGGTTGCAGATACGCCTTGCTGACCGGTGAGTGCCAACCCGCATGAAACCTAGGTTCCTGTGACCGATTGCCTCCAACTATCTAATATTGTACCTGTCTCTTTTACTCTTTGATTTTTCGTGTTTCTCAACTTGTTGGTGGTGTTGCTAATTTATCGTCATCATTGTTATTGTAGTTGACTTTACCTTTTCTCTGTGTAGTTATCAAGCGTGGTTAATTCCTTTTGGTATATGCAGTTTTGATATGGTGTTTGTCATCTATAAATATCCTTTCAAAAGAATTACATTTCTTAGTTTCTTATTTGAGCGTCAGTTATCATTTCACATTCTTAAAGCACATTTATTCTTTTGTAGTCACCCAGATCCAATAAATTCTGACTATTCTTCATCTGATATATATATATATATATATATATATATACATATATATATAGTGTACAGTTGTTATTAAGTGGTTGGAGGCAATCGGCAGGAAACTTGCAACCTAGGTGTGGTGCTTGTGCTGACACCTATCGGAAAGGCGCGTATATGTAACTTTGGAGGAACTCAAGTCGCTTCTGAGATTCGAACCTCTGTCACGTAGTGCTAAAGTCAGACTCGTCACCCCTGAGTAATTCGGGATCGTGATTAATGTGCTTTACCAATACTTGAATATCAATGAGATGCTCACTGGCGACTAGCCCTATTCAGGTAGGTAGTTACGTGGGGTTCTAGTGGGAAGTCGTGACCAGTAGGGTGCAGCAAGTCGGGTGTGAAGACAAATAATCGTCGAAGACATTGACTAGCGGTTGCGCGGTGTCGTGAATTGGCAGAAGTTAGAATTCATGGGCTGGCCATTGGATTGGGTCCTAGTGACTTAATAGTCTACGAGCTCACTAGCTTTGTAAGCAGAAGGTCCTGGGTTCGAACTTCTGGTGGTGGGTGCGTACTGGTGAAGAGTCCCAAACTAGGACGGAGGAAACAGCTGTCCAGTACTCCCAGGTTTTCCAATGGTTCTCTGACCAATATCAGCTCATGATGAAATCCTGTAATCAATCAATCAATCAAAATCCCTACTAACCAATACTTGAACAAATGTCGTGTTGGGGACTGTACTAGATACTTTAATTGGATACTAGGTGGTAGCAAGTGATTAATGTCACGTGACTAGTCCTTGGTGTTGGTGCAGACGGAATGTTATCAGTCAAGTTTGCAATACACAGTTGTATTGTATTCGTGAACTGAATATCTTCCTCGATAAGACAGTTTCTTTTTGGTGGACTGAAGAAAGGTACATGGTGCCAAGGACTTCAACAGTTGTGCTTACCCAATATGTAGTACAATGGTGCGTGGGACAAATGTATATGATCATTACATCCATGCGGATCAATGTCTCAATCATTTCACGTAGAATCGGAATTTTCAGATGTACATGGAACACGGGATATTGTCTGAATACACATTCCAATATTTAGTGGTGAAAAGCCTAGTCGTTTTGTTTTCCTAGTTGTGGGTAGCACTTCACGTTAAATTTGTTTAGCTGAGACCCTGTCTGTTCACACTATTCAGTCCTTAGATTCTTTTGGTAATTTTTATTTGATACGCGATAGATGACAGAAAAAGATTGTTCAATGTTAGCCTGATCGTCTATTTCGACCAGGTCGTCTAGTATTGAACTGTTGATGGCATTTTGCCTCACTTACAGGTGCTCCCAAGCACGAGAAAATTAGTCCCTAGAGCAATTACCAATCACTTCTGAAATTGGGTTATAAGTACTTTCTTTTTTGACATAATAGTTATGTTTCTTTCCGGTATAATCAGAGGAACCTCTCCCCAACACCTACCCCCTCTACCCAGTCGAATAAAATGCCTAATCATTGTAACGGTATGTCAAGTGCTCACTTTACATTAAGTTCTTAGAGCCTGTCTCACTTTGGTTACACTTTAGTGGTCTAGTCGAGCATCTTCTTAATCCAAAGGAATTTCATTTCAGTTCTGTTATCTATATTACAGCCAGGTGCACCGAATGAAGGACAGTTATGTAATCGTCCTCCTGACAGACCAATGGACAATAATCGTTGTGTGGATTACCTTAACGATAAACAATTACGTATGTGAATATTCTGTTATCATTATTTTTCTTCTATTAAGTATATTTATTCATATTTTTACTTTTTAAAGTACAGATAAAAATGTGCGGATGATATTGTCCTCCTAGGGTGAAGATGCTGACAAAATGCAGAAATCTTCGAATATTTGGCGTGTTGTGATTCACTTCTGTCAAGTGTAAGATGACGATCTTGCGAGATTGGACTAGACAGACTCCTCGCCTAAAGATATAGGGATTGAAGTGGTAGAGCATGTACACTATTACACTTATGCAGGAAGTTGCATCTGTTTCCAATGGACTGTTTACTGACGAAAAAAGCTTGTGTGACACTTCGTATAACTCACGTTATCTCTGGTGTAGACGTGATATCTGGCTAGCTATCGATCAAAGGACGTATGTACTGCATAGCAGCAGTTCTATCTGTCCTCCTTTATGACTATGAGATAATATCCAATTGAAAGTGAAATCCTTGAAGAGGCTAGTTGTCTTTGACCAAAGTCGTGACCAAGTTATGATGAAATCCTCCATCCAATCAAGCAAAATCCTTACAAAACCAATATTTGAAAATTAATTTGATGCTCACTAGCGACTGGCCTTATTCAGGTAGTGACCTGGGGTTCTAATGAGAAGCTGTGACTAGTAGGGTAAACCAGATTGAAGATGAGGCAGTAACTCATCGAAGGAGACATTTCGAAATGGTCGCGCTATGTTGTGAATTGTCAGGAGTTAGAATTCATGGGCTGGCCATTGGATTGGGTCTCAATGGCTCACTGGTCTACGAGTTCTCTAGCCTTGTAACCAGCAGGTCCTGGGTTTGAACCCTGGTGGGTGCGTACTGTTGAAGAGACTCAGAGTAGGACAGAGGAAACAGCTGTCCAGTACTCCGTGCAGGTTTTCCAGTGCTTCTCTAACTGATATCAGCTCATGATAAAATCCTTCATCCAATAAAAGTCGTTTTTGTTCTATCTCCGGTGTCAGGGGGGGTATAATATGGCTAATGCTATTGAAGTAAGGAAGTTAAGTCAATCAATGAAGTTGTGAAGCTATATCACTTGAGATGGCCTAGAGCACACTCTGCATATCCCGAGCCAACTCTTTCTTAGACGAGCAGTGTTCACTGACTTAGGGTTGTGTTGGAAAAGACTTAGAGGTGTGGTCAAATCAAAGCCTGAAATCAATTCAAGAGGTTTTTGACTGTTGGTTTGAGTCAGTCATGTAGGGAAGTCCATTCACCTCTCAGCTGTCTAATTTTTATTCTTCTTCTTAACTTATTTATTGCTTATATGAAGACTCTTCAGATGGAGGGAATCAACCAAGTTGGTCGTTCAATGCTAATGCATTCCAGTCATCTCAAAATGGTAATGAAAAATTGGATAAACTACAACAACAACAGTCTATCAATGGCACAGATGGTATTGTCGCATTTGCAGATTTAAGAAAATCTTCTCTAAACAACGTGAACAATAAAATGTCTGGTTCTGGTGGTGAAATACTTGACATGAGAAATAATAATGATAAACAGGTGAGCAGAAAATCATATAACTTTTCAAGCGTTAGTTTTTAAAGATTTATGAATGGTTTTAAATTTGATCATGGGTTTGATATCAATTAGAGTACGACACTAAACCATTGTTTCTTCCTAGTTCGCGACTCTTCAACAGCACCCACACACCCATGACTACCTTTAGGACCTTCGGGTTACGCGGTAAACCTGTTGATCGTTTGTCTAGCCACTAGGAAGGATGAAGTTCAATGGCCCATGAGTTCTAACTACTTATCTATGGTATTGGCTAGCGGTGCCATCGCTGACTGACAGGCTATTGAACTCTATCCCACTGGTGGAATATTCAATGAGCTTGTCTTGTAATCTGAAGGTCCTGGGTGCGCGTGCTTTTTTGAGAAGTCCAATACCCTCTGATTTTTAATGGTTCTCTAACCGATATATCAATTTTTCTTAACAGTTTTAACATGTGGTTATATGCATGCAGTGTTACGGATGTCTGTCAGCATTTGCAGTTGTAGCTGCCTTCCTTAATTGTATAACCGTTGGAACACAAAATGCTAATTATTCTAAAAATGTGTCTTTTTTGATATACACTAGTGATTACCGTATTGGATATGGATACACCACATTCCCCCCCCCATTACTGTTTTCATCCTATGCGTTTTTTGGAGGTAAAAAAGTGTTTGTGTATTCAGGAGTCTGAAATGATGTCATTTTTACAATTTACAACAAGAAAAACACACACACTATGTGTAAATTAAGAATATTCTTTTCAATGAATTCTCCTCTTCAAGTTCTTTATACTTATAGAATCAGTTATTTGTTAACATTATAATAATAGTACATATGAACTGTAATCAAGATTTGACTGAATAGATCCAATTTTAATGTGTAATGTACTTTCATGTTGTATTCATGACTCAAATGATTGGGCAAGGGGTTGGACCAGCTTGCTTGTCAAACAAAATGGCAGTGTTTATCTAAGATATTACACAAATTTAATTTTGATGTATTTTGATTGGACACTAGTAACTAGTGTAATGTGTCTTCTAGTCCTTTCTTCCTTTGGTGCAGACTGAATTCTATTAGTCAGCTTTTGCAATGTCGGCCACCATTCTAGGTAGCTCGTCATCACGGTGCATATTGATTTGATGATATATTAGATGGTTGGAGGCAATCGGCCACAGGAAGCCTTGGAGACACATTACACTAGTTAACTAGTATCTCATGAAAATATCCACTACAGTTCTACAGGAAGTCAATCGCGAGCCCGAATAGCTGCTCGGTGGTAACATCTCTGACTGTGCAAGGCTCACTGGGTGACGCGGGTTCGAATCTCAGAGGGATGGGATATGGGTTCCTTCCAGCTGATTGGTTGCAGATACGGTCGGGCAATTGGTGATTCTTTCCAGCCCGGCCATCTGATCTTCAGTCTAGATCCAGAGAAGACAGATGTTGGTTGATGACGGTCTGCAACAGGCTGTTGGAAATATTCTTTGTGACCCGCCCGACAAGTTTGTGATCCGTATAGAAGAACTGACTGACTTGAAATGGTTTGTATTGAAAATCCGACTGAATTTTGTTGTTGATGCTGGCTGAGTGACGAAGATTTCCAGATTGGTTTCAGATTGATGATATTGATGTGTTTCTCGCCTTCCCGATTCTCGCTCGATTTGACATCCTTGTGCATTCCTCCTGCCTGTGGTTGAGACAATGCTCTCTAGATAAGTGAAATGAATGAAGTAACCTCTTTCAAATACCTCCCGTTGATGGTGATTGGCGCTGGATGTTGCTGTTGTTGTTGGTTGGTTGGTTATTTTCATAACCTCCGTCCTGTCTATGTTCACTGGGAGTCCTGTCTTCGCCAGCTGCTTCTTCGACCAGTTTGTCGGTCGGTTTTCGCTTGTAAGTCTTCGATTTTGTGTGACATCAAACATAAATCATCCACGCGCGAAATCCAGGTCTTCTAGGTTCTTCACGTCGTTCGGTCCAGGATATCCCTGTCTTTTCGTTTCCCACCCGCTGTCTGACGCATAATCCAGTCAGTTCACCACAATTAGGAATATCATTGGTGATAATAAACAAGCGCCCTTGTCTGACTCCTGTGTTTACTCCAAACACCTCGCTGAGTCTAAGAGTCCTTTGAAGTGATCCGCCTATTGTTTAATTTGTCTTTATTCCTTGGTGATTGGGTTCCCTTGGCTGTCTTTTATGGGTTTCACTTATGTCGATCTCTTTCAGGATAGAGATTTCGTTATCTGATATAATGTCCTCAGGTCCCTTTTGCCTGCTGCCTTCTCAGCTTCAGTGACCAGGTTGTAGAATCGTCTTTTGTCCTTCGTAGCATTCTTCTCCATTTCTTTGTCTAGTGCTGTGTAAGTTGAGCTCAGTGTCTCCTCCTGTCCGTCCTTGCATTGAATCATTTTCTCATTCACCATTCTCCTCTCTTCTATTAATTTCCAAGTGTCCGTTGAGAGCCATTCCTTGTCTTGTCTCTTCTTTGATCATGGACTGATATCAATTATAGAATTTTTGAATATCAGCGGGAATTACTGGACAGCTGTTTCGTTCTAGTTTGGGAACTATTGGAAGTACGCGCCCACTGGGTTTCGAGTCCTGTTTATGTATTACCTTTTGCAGAATTCTTGATGTTTGTGTCCAACAGATACTGTGTAAATGTTGTAACTGTTCAAAGTTGTTCTCATTCTTGATCGTCTAAAATAGACAGTTCTTTCTCTATTTGCAGTATTTCTCATCTGGTGTTTGTCTTCTGATGTAAATTACCATAAAGTTTGTGTAGCACATATGCAGCACTAAGGACTTTCCCGTACGAAATAGCGAAACAACAATAAAAGTTTAGGAGAGATTAAGTAGTTAAAGAACATGGGGATGAAAACGGATAAGTATAGTTTTCAAAAAAACATTTAGAAAAACGTTCTCTTCATGATCACATTCATAAATAGAAGAGAAAGAATGAACCTACATCCGCCTGTTTGTCAGTGATTTTGATAACATCTGCCGGACCCTACATGGTTAGTTGCATGCTAACTCAGTACGACTGTTTTTCATCTTATGAGGTTTCGTCGTCAGCTGACCACCTCTTTCTATGTAGTCTCAGGCGTGGCTGGCAAACAGTAAATGCTCTAGATACCGTTGGTGTATGACATTTGCAACAACTAGTGGGACTGGTAGTGTCCTAAAACACCATCATTATTGAAAGACTATGTTTCCTGTGTTCAAACACACACTGGTGCACCTTTAAATAATTATACAAGTGGTGTCTGTTACTACCGGATGTTGTAATCAGTCCCTAAAGTGACGAAAATGCAAAGACACCGAATAGGTCACCAAACATCCTAAGCTTGTACACAGATCAGGTTTCACAGATGCTTAAAACTCGAATAATGATGATATCTGATTTAGCATTAGGATGAGTCTGTAGGGGGTGTGCCAGGCTTGTATATGCTTCCCTGATTTTCGCTTTATAATGAGCGTTTTCATCCATCACAGTTTGTAGATAATATAGAAAGATTGGTAACGAATACATTGTCTATAACACGGCATAGTAAAGTTCCCGGTCACTGGTTTTTCTTACTTTCCTGTTGTTCGTTATGGTTCCAACGTAGAAATTTGCACCGATGTGCAACAGTTCAAGTCGCTACACTCCCCTCTTGTAACACACAAAGCAAGAAAAGAAAGTAGAAGAAAATGCAAAACAGAAACAGTAAACAGAGATATTAGACAAAAAGAATAGTAATCTTCGACAACATTATAGTTTTATTGAGTATTATAAGTCACAAGAAGCGGATGCATGTGCACCAGTCATTCGGAACGAGGATTTTGAGCCAGATCATTAATTGTTTCCAGTCACCGTTGGTTCTTACCATCCCGAGGACCCCAACCAGTCAGGAAGTCTACACCTCCCTACGTGGTTGGCTGACTCGCTGGCTTAAACTAACTGTTGTGCATTTAATTGACTGATAAAGTCATGTTTTTCCAACGTGATGGATCCTATGTCAGCCGCTAACATTCCCCGTTATCGAGGAAGGCGATGGCTAGCCAGGCATGAGTAACACATGTCCTAACCATCTCGTTCCTTATAGCAATGTGTCATTCATTACCTATAAATTTTAGTGCTGGTGTAACAACAGAAGACAAGGGCCAGGCAACAGATCGTTTTATTATGAAAATCAACACGTATTTATACATCTTTCAACTACATTATTATAGACAAGCGCAGTCATCTGATTGGTTGTTTAGGTAGACAAACGCAGGCTTCTGATTGGTTGTTTCGGGATTCCTTGACAAATAGAGTTCTCTCTGCGAATCATATTTTGCCACGTTAACTTTGCTGTGATTGGTTGTTGACTCAGGCTTGTTCATATTTTCTCACGGCCCATATTAGTGACCTAGACCTTAACGTAGATTAGTGCCAACCAATCGGCTAGCAGCCTGCTCTCACCACACTCGTCCCCCGTCAAATACGTGCGACTGAAGTCGGCTTGATCTACTTGGTGCAGGCGTCATCGTTGGCTTGTCTTGCTGTATCGATTTCTGGAGCTCGCTGATGTTCACGCGCCTCTTATTGTTCGCCATTGCGACTGTGTCTGCGTAACCCCATCTCGAAGTGACCATATATGGTCCTTCCCACTTTGGAAACTGTTTGCCTGACCCTGTCGAACATTCGTCCATACTTCGGCCGACACCTTCATATGCTGCTTTCGCCCGACCTCCCAGCAGCGTCTCAAGTAGCAGCTCCATCGCTGACAGATCTTGAACGCCACTCAACTGCGCAGAAGCCTTGAAGTCCTGCCCGAAGATCCATATGTCTCCATCAAAAACTGCAGGGTATAGGCTTTTCATTTGTCGGTAGGCAGCGACACCAAATGTAACAACAGAAGACAAGGGCCAGGCAACAGATCGTTTTATTATGAAAATCAACACGTATTTATACATCTTTCAACTACATTATTATAGACAAGCGCAGTCATCTGATTGGTTGTTTAGGTAGACAAACG